TAAGGTATATTTGGGGTATGCTTGGGATCCAAGTTAAGCCCCAAGATACTTTTATACTCAGAGTTTTAGCTCATATACACAGTATTCCTTCTCAGCCAAAGAGAATCATATATATGAAATCTTAGGTGGGCTCGAGACCCTACAGAATGGGCCCCTAGCTACGTCACCTTAAGGTTACCTTTTTATTTTCTAAAGATATCTTGATCATGTTATTTATTTGATAATGCTCCTTTTGCCGGATAATGGGTACCCCGGTTACCATTTCACTGACATTATCCTAGGATAATGAATCTTGCAACATTTTTGGATGGAGGTAGTAGACTATAAGGCAGCTGTAAGTATCTGTGGAGGAGATAAGATCAGCAAATACAATATAAGAGTATAAGCTAACTACGAGCACATATGAAAGAGAGAGGGAAGAAGAGAAAAGAAAAGCGGGGTACATATTATTAATGGTGTAGTATATATTTATATATAACTATTGTATGAATAGACTATTCGATTGGCTGTAAATGATGTGTCAAATTTTAAAGCTAATTAATAGTTTGCTATACTATTAAACTCAAAAAAAAAGTGTTGAGGGGGTGTAAAGTGAGTAACGTTACAACGCGAAAAAAAAAGAGCCCCAATTATTTTATATTTTAGTCTATGTCTATGTGTATTTAAAGATCACTCTTTTGATATTCAAAAAGTTTCACTCTTACTCTTATGCTGATCTGGCTATAACAAACTTGTTTTCTTCTGCTCCAGAAAGCGTTCGATGGTAACCATTGCTAACACAAAGAGCTAGCTCATGACAATAATATAAACGTGTGTTCTGGGCAACAGCGATTTTATTTATCCGTTTAATAAAAAGAAAACACTATATCATGACATATTTTTTTTCTCAGCCTTCACTTAAAAGAATCTTTGCTACTATTGAAAGGAAAAAAAGAAACAACACTAGAGGTGTTAATTCATCTAAAACAGGCACTTACAAGTTACAACCCCTTCCCACCCCTCATAACACGACCGACACATTTGATCCTATTGATAAGGGTGTTAGGTCCCGATCTTCCGATAGGTACTGATAAACAGTCGATTTGGACGGAGTCGAGACACAACTCGATCCGGCTTCTGAACAAACACGCTACTGAGCCCCGCAATCACAGCACCACGTCTCCTCTGGTTATCAATCGTGCCGAAACCCAATTGACCTCGCCGAGAAGGCTAATCCCTACATGCGAATCGAAGAACACAAGCAAGAACAAGATAGATTGCATCCAAATTGCATATGAATGATTAAGCACTCGAATTTAGGGTTCCACAAACCGATCTACCGGCGAAACTGTTCTTGACAGAATAATCTAAGCAAAACCCGACTCTAAACGATGACGGCTACTGAATAAAAATGATTAGGGACGTCCTAGGGTTGCCTTAGGGCGCACACCCCCTTGGCCTAAGTCCACGACACAATTATAAGGCCCAAAACACAAATCAGATTCGGACTGGATGAGGTACGCGGCTTGTTTTGCAGATTCCCGGTAGCTCAGTAGGAATTTTGATGTGGGACCAAAACCATATGAAAGTAGACTCCATAAGCTTTCCAACAAATACTCATGGGCGCCGAAATTCCTTCTAGATCAGCGGCTAGGTCCGTTTGAAGTTGGTGCTGTCAGGAGGTCTGAATCTGAATCCAAAACGTGTGGAACTTTATCTCTCGTCTTCTATGGACCAAAAGTGACGTGGTGAGATGAAAGAAGACTTGGAGAAAGTCTTGGTTTGGTCCCTAATCAACTTCTTCAATCATTCATGCATTCTTTATGCTCGGTCTCTTTTCTTTCACCCAAGCAAGTACCTCTACAAACGAAAACACACAAAACTCATTGTGTAGCAACGTTTGTTCAAATATATAACAAGTAAATCTAATATAGAACATATGCACCTTTAGTTGACTAATACATAAGGTAGTCATGGTTATATCCGAGCTAGTTGTATCCTCATCACCATATAAGTATATGTTTATTAAAAAGTAGGTACCAAATATTGCTGCCGGTTTTTTGAATAAACTAACATTTTAAGTATTATAGATGTCGGTTTTTTAAAAAAACAACACCTCGAAGGAGCCAAGCCGACCTAGCCTTTCACGAGATTTTTCACGCGCACCGATGATAGAGGGACATGTCCTCTCCACCTCTCCCTTATCCTCTTATCTTTCCACCTCTCCACCTCTCCATCTCTCTCTCTCTCTCCAGGACTCCTTGGTGGCGGCAGCCTCCCTTGCTCTCCTTTGCGGCAACGTGACGGTGGCAAGCAGAGCGGCGCCTCGAAGGGGGGGATGCGCCTCCATCGCCTCCCCACGACCTTGCCTACCCTCAGCAGCAGAACGAGCGTCGGCGGCCTCCCTTCCTTTCGTGTGTGGTTGCAGCAGCCTCCCCTTCCTCTCCAGTGAGCAGCGGTGGCGGTAGAAGTTCTCCACTGTGATTGGTGTATTCTTTGATTTGGTTTTTTAATAAACTTGTTGATGAATATTTGGTCCTATAATGTTAACTTATCATGAATATTTCTCATTCTATGAACTTGTTGATTCTCTTATATGAATTTGTCTATTTTTTTCTTAGATTTTTGGATTTAATTTTGGTGCTTTTGAGGCATCGGCTCAAATTGAGCCGAGCCGAGCCGGCTTTTTTTTTTTCAAACAGCTTATCAATGCCGGTTGGGAAATCTAACACTTATAGGGGTTCCCAACTGGCACCAATAAACGTTTTCTGTTGTAGTGCTTCTTACAGAGCCCCACGGCTAATTTATCTTTTTTTTCTTGGCATTCTTGTAGGGTCTCAAATTGTGTTCCGTTTCGGGGTATCAAATTCCAAGGTACGGTTCTGAATGTGAGGTTCGACATGCTCTCAGAGCACTCTGAGGTAGCAATCAGCCCCCTAGCTAGTCGACGTTTTACCGGCGGTGGCACCACCGATGGCTACTAGCACTCATAGCGCAGTGGAGGTGGATGCAGAGATCGGAAGAAACGGGTGGAGAGATGAAAGAAAGCAACAGTACAGTACAAACAGCGCCATTCTGTTCTGTCGAGGATACGGTGCTGGTGGCTCAACGCTGTCGTCTTCTTCCTCTCGTCGTTTCGTTCGTTTCTTCCTCCTCCCCTCTCTCTGATCTCTCTCTCTCTCCCGTGACTCTCTGCCTCGCGCGCTGCCTCCGCCGCTGCATCACGCATGTGGCAACAAACCGACGTCACTGTGTGTCCTGCATGCTGTGCCGGTATGGGACGGAGGAGTCGAGGAGAGGATTCATTTGGTTATATAGCATGGTGTCGCCAGTTGGGTCAGTGTGGAGAGGGGAAAGTACAACCAGGGTCGCCGAAGAAGACACTTCGGTATCAAGGCTGTAGCTAGACCACTGTGGGAAAGTCTTAGGATATCTACCACTGCTACCGTGCCATCCAGTCTAGTCTACTGCCAAAAAGAAATTGTTTTTGACTATTTTGCATAGTATCCCCCAACAAAATCAGCATGCATATCCTTATTAAAATTTATTAAAAAGAAGGGTGAGGCTCGAAATTGGGCCTTTCTCACATGCATGTTGTTCTGGCAGAGCCCGGCATAAAATTATGTGACGCATAGTAAGGTCATTCACATTACACTAAGTTGTCATTCAGCCTTCATCGGTCAGCTCGGAGATTCCCCTCCAATAAGGGCATCAAGTTAGGTAGCAAGGGTGGGACCTATGTAACGCCCCGATTAACCTACAAAACCAAGTAGTAATTATTTTAGTTCACACAATGTAAAGGTAGTAAGCTGGGCCCCACATTTAAGAGAATGGGTGGTTGAAGAAGAGAGGGAATGAGAGATGAGAGAGTCTTAATATTTGTTTATTCCTTATTGCCTGGTAGTAGCACTACTACCGGATGATACTACTACCCATTTTACTAGCTACTCCCACAATGGTGAACCAGGTAATAGGACTTCTTACTATCCACTTTTTTTTTTTTTTTGCACATTGTGGATGCCCTAATAGGGAGCCAAAATAAGCTACAGGTTCATGATCAGATTTGCAGCTTTGGGCCCACAATCTTTTGTCCCGCGCCCCTCCGGGAAGGGAGAGAGAGGATCGGAGAAAGGCCGGCGACGGTAATGGCGACACAGCGGCTGGGCAGATGTTGGCGACGGGGACGTAGCGACGCAGAAGGGGAGGGGAGAAGCGCCGCTGCTGTCGTTGGGGAAGGAGGAGAGGTCGCCGGTAGTGAGGAAGATAGGAGGAGGGAGAGGGAGAGGAGCTTTCTCTTCGCGTGCCGTGTCTCCTCTACCAGCAAGCTTGATCCACAGCTTGGTGGCGCCATCGTCCGTGGTTTCCGGCCCCGACGAGGTGGAGCCCCCCTCGGCACCTCTTGGGCCACGCGCCACCGCCTCGCTCATCACCGCCGCCGGTCGCGAGCACGACCTCAATTGCTCCTCTCGTTGAGCTGCTTCGATCCGCCACCTCAAGCGCCACCTCGCCCCGTCCACCCCATTCTGTCGTGGTGGCCAAAGGAGGAAGTGGGAAGGCGTGGCAGCCAGAGGAGGAGGGGGAGGCACGGCAGAGGAGAAGAGAAGGGGACGAAGAGGGAAGCGACGGAGAGGCAAAGGAGCACGAGGTCAAGGCCGATATCAATTCAAAGCCAGCGAGCTCGATCCGCAGCTAGCTCGGTCGCCGCTTGGGCCGCCCGATGTTGTCACCGCTTGGACCGCCTCGCCAGCTGCCACCACTCAGCCCCAATGCCTTGTTTTCTCCGGCCTCGGTTTCCTCTACCGGTGGGGAAAGAAAAAGAGGAGAGGGGAGATGAAAAGTGAAATATTGGTATTGGTGGAACCCACTACAAGTAACTTGCATCGTGGAGTATGTAGTTTAATACGTTCTTGATTTAGGCGGCGTACGAAGAACGGTAAATATCAAGGAAGCACTGCTATTGCCCTAATGACTTTAAGACCACAAACTTCTCTTCACTTGCACAGAAGGCGCGCACACATCAATATGCAGTTAAAATATGTATTACGCGTTTCGGTGATTCCAAAAGGAAGGAATATAATAACTAACTGCCCTTTGTTCAAGAGGCTGTGTTGGTTGGCCAGCCACCAGATTAGAATGCACAAACGTGTGATCTCCGAACGGAATTGTTTCACTTTTGGTCTTCTCTTACAGCGACATATTAATGAAGTATACATACATCAGCTCAAGTACGATTTTCCATACAGAAGAACCTAAAACATGGTTCAAGGTGCAGAAGGTCCATCAGGCAGTTTTGTCTTCCTTTTCCTACCAAGAATGGACGCTTTCTGCAGCCTCACACCGCCAGCGCGCCACTTCTTGAAAGCGGTCATCGAGTCCCTAGCAGATTCGAACACTTCGCGACAGAAAAAAAAAGGGTTACTTGAAGTGATAATAGTTGGGAGCTTGGAATGGTAATGGAAGAAATGCAGGATGATGAGTAAAATCAGAGTTGGGAGAAGTATTTACCTTGAGCTTCTTCTTTTGTAAGGCGCGGAACAAACTTGGGCACTGTCATCATGGAAGAGCTGTGTGACTTGCTTAGTATCTCCTTGTACCTACTAGTGAATGCATAGCGCAAGAACAGTCCAATGCTCCTGTCGTTCACCCTGTTTACACAACCATGCAAACGAATAAATCATTATACACCTCTGCATGTGCAAAGTACACCAATTTAGTAAGATATCAGCATCCAAACATCTAATAATCCCACAGATCACTAGATAAATAACTTCATCATCAGATTCTTAACTCTTCTTGACAGACTGCAAGAAAATAGTGACAACAGCAGTGGACTCCCTCTCTAGAAGTGCATCTCCAAATTCATTGTGGACTTCGTTCTCTGTCCTCATTGCACCTTTATTATGAAAATACCGTAACCATTAGGAAAAGCTGAATCCCGAGAGGATGACTAACGGTGAGCATGAACAAATCATGTATAAGTGGTAGACTGGTAGCTCCAAATGTTAATCCAGTTGCTCACACCCAACACTAAAGCGAGAGACCAAATGAGTAGTTCCATGACTGTTCTATTGGCCAGTAAAACTGAAGGCAAAACACACTGGAGCATCTGACAAGGCAATCCTTCAAATGTTCTGCAGAACAACCAAATACACTTGCTACCCTTTTTTTTTTAAAAAAAAAAAGTCTAATATTGCCCAAATATACAAATGATTTTTGCACCAAACAAGTCCATCTATATGTGACAGTTCGGCCATTTTGGAACTTCCCATACTGAATTTTATTTTTCTTTGTAAGGCAAATAAGGAGAAATAAACATGCTCAAGATCTACAATAAGTGGGGTGGCAAATTCATAAAAAGACATGTTGAAGGGGTCATAAAAAGACATTCTATAGGTGGGGTGGCAAATTCGCAACCGCCACAGTGCCATCACCACCATTACCTTCTTTTAATTATTATATCTATAATATAATATGTTCTTATGCTCATAAAGTTTAGAGGATATCCTTAGCACAACTACAGTTCTCATGTACTCTGTTCTGTGTAAGTTGAACTGGTGTCTTGGTGGCACAGAGATCATTTGTCAGGACTGCTGAAATTTATAATGAATGTTTGGCTGACAAATAGAGGAAACAGCAAGGGACTTTGTTCGAGTATCTGAACATATTGTCAGCAAAAGAATGATCAATCACATTCCGAAAAATTAAGAGCTTCTTTTAATATTCATAGAATGAAATTGAGAAAAAAAATAAAAGAAACAAAAGCATGCCTTAATAAAATTGTCAATCACAAAGGGAAGTTGATTGTGAAGCACCAAGTTAGGGTATGCTAACATCACAATGCCGTGGTTGCAGGCCATGGCCAACGATGAGCAGTGAAGCAGCAACAACAGCATTAAGAGCAGCATTAGATCATCTAGTAGTTGATTATTGAGTTGTATTCAAATATCTATCTAATATCTTTGAGTTGCATGCAGTGCTCCATTAGGTACTTTGCAAGGGATCCTCAGGCCATAATCTCCTGCATTCCAAAGGCAAGAATAGATCAATTATCTACATGTCTCTCTGCACTCCCTGTTCCTCTAATAGGCCTAGTCGAAGCCCTCATCTATCACAGCTACTCTACTACTATTCAAGTCAGCAACACAATTTTTTTTTAGAAAGCAGATCACTGAGTGATCCGGCTTTTAATAGAAAGCCAAACATTACATAGTTTGATACAAAATATAAAGCAAAAGGTAAACTTTTCTGGGGGAACCTTTTTGCCACTGAAAACCCTAAACTTGCCAAGCAAACAGGCAAGTCACAAGTCATTTTCAGCATTTGTAGAGCCTTCAAAATACAGCTTTGAAAGCTAATTTTTATTGTAATATATATTTGTTAAACCTAACAAGACTAATATTCTGAAAGTACTTCTCAGGACAAATCTACTGATTATTTTCATGTATCACATACAAATCCTAAACTCAAACCTATCACAGTTGGTTTACGGAGATAACTAAAATCTGCAAAATATTCAAACTAAATCTTACCAATATCCATAATGCTTTTTTAAAAAGGCAATGGTGGTAGTGGTGGCGAATCTACCACTCCACCTCTACATCAGCTTTACAAATTGCCCTTCGACAGTACTTCCACATATTGTTAGCTTTTCTTGTTCGACCTTCTAAATACAAATTTAGCACAAAAGATTATTTATTTATTTATTATATATACATATAGTGAATCTATTCTACACCCCCCCTCCCATGGGCCAAACCCACCTCCCCCACCCTCCCTATGGCCCAAAACCCCCCTCCCACCTCGGTCAAAGCGTCCTCCCGCCGGTCAAACCCGCCCACCACTTTGCTGCTCTCGTCTTGCAGGAATCGTGCAGTAACAGGACGGTCATCGTGCAGTAACAAGATCACATTATCGCAGTAACAACGTCAAAAAGTAGCCATGATGGATCTTGTTTCGTTAAGCGTTTTTTTATGAACTTCATGGTGCAAACGGATTGGAAATACAAGATATGATGTGAGAGATATTGCTCTCTAAAGATTGAGATTTACCTCTTTTTTAGTCCTTGTCTCACTGGAACAGCGTAGTAACACGATGGCCAATATGTAGTAACACCACTGCTTTTCGCAGTAACAACGTTAAAAAATAGTTATGATGGTTCTAGTTTGGTTAAGCACTTTTTTTTTACGAACGCCATGATGCAAATGGGTTAGAAAAATAAGACATGACGTGTACGTTAGTACTCTCTAAATATTGAGATTTAAAATACTCTAGATCTAAAAAAATTACTACTATAGGGCCACTGTTACTATGCATGTTCTCTGTTACTGCAAATTTCGTCATATTGTTACTGCCAAAAGTGCAGTAACAACCTATACATTTTTGCAGCTTCTGGGATAATGTTACTGCCGAATCATAGTAACAAGGTATGATTGTTATAGGTACATAACTGATTTGTTCACAAATCATCATACGATGATTTGGTTAGAACTGCTTGTCATGAACCATGAGATCATGGGTTCAAGTCTTGAATTCACCAATTTATTTTTAATTTTTCTAAAAAAGAGAGGAGGGAGAGAAAAAAAAAAGGAGGGGGAATCGGAGGGAGAAGCGATGGGAGGGAGAGGGGCACGACGGGAGGGAGAGGGGGCGCGGGAGGGAGAGGGGGCACTGGGGGAGAGGAGTGCGGGAAGGAAGGGGGCGCGGGAGGGAGAGAGGAGCGATGGGAGGGGAGGAGGTGGGGACGGATGGGAGGTGGGAGGGGGTGTAGAATAGTTATTCTAAGGGAGGGGTGTATAATAGAGCTTATATATATATATATATATATATATATGCTAATTTTACAAATAGAACTGTGGAAATGTATCAAGTGTTTGCTTTAACAAAATACGAAGGGTGTGTTAATAAAACAGACACATTCATTTATATCGAACATGTATGATACAATATTATCTGTAGCAAACACAGCAATTTATATGATTCATGATCATCTGTACATAATGGTTTGTTAACATACTGAAGCTGAAGATTAGGTTAAACAACCTGAAATCACTAGATGGAAAATAACAATTGTGCAAAACAAGAACAGCAAGACTAGATACCAAGAAGTGGCAAGGCATGGCCGACCAACCTCTTCTCTTACCACTGCCTCCACATTTTTTGTTTATACTTCTCACTAGAGTTTCAATTGAAGGTGGTTTCTTTAATTTCGGATGATCTACCAATATCAAATCCAACTTGGAATCAGAGATATATTTTATTATTAACACACAGTAGCTATGTTTTGAGCAACGTCATGTTCATCAAGCAGCACTTTCACAACCGCTGCCTGACATCAGCAAGGCTGCAGCCATAATATGGAGAGGAGCAACTCACTATTGCTTATGATTGTTTTCTGTGAAACCAAGCAATTTGTTTGGATAAAAGAGAGGGGAGCAAAAAGATAGATAGGTTGATTAAAAGGAGAGACATTACTGAAATAAAGTGAGTGTTGGTGTATTTTCGATCTTATTTGAAGTGATAATTACCAATGTGGTATTTCCAAGATGTTATGGCATGGAAGTTGGTGTCCATAATGGCAAAACAACCTCCAAAACCACCCTTGCTCTATTGTTTGAAGTCTGGAGATAATCAGATAAACATATCTATTTTTTTTGTTGGAGTTAAGTAGAAATTTTGCAAAGTTCAAGGGTTTAAAATGAACTTGTCTTATGAAAGTATGAAAGAATCTATCTTCAATGGACTCAAAAGCATTTATAATATTGAAACAAACATGCACAAAGAAAAATGTATGTTGTACGCCGAAAGAATTACTTAGTCATTGTAAAAGAAAAGTATTATAGCGTATGTTAATAAGGTCATTTGTGGACAAAATTTTGTAAAGCAATGAAGTGGCTATTCTATCAAATATCACATAGAAACATTTTAATATGAACTAATAATTCAGTAAGATTTTTAACACAAAGGTAAATAATATCTCTGCTTTCTTTTACCGGTGGTCAAACTTTAGAATTGTTGACAGCACAGATTCTAGGGCATCAAGTAAAAAGCGGATGCAGGTAGTAAGCCAGAACTATATCCTAAAAGTGCATGAGATTGAAATCGTTTCAGAACTTACAAAGGGACTATCTTGCATCCTAGCTCATAGAAGTAAGGGCAACGAATCCTCAAATCAACACAGGCTGCATCAGCTTGGATCTCCTTCCGGGTTCTGTAGCAATGTTGTTATGATCTTAGGACAACTTTTCTAGGAAATATTGAAACTACCAGGCATTTGCAATTACTGAAGAAGACCTCTACAGTAAGTTGACAAGAAGTACTTTCATGTAAATCTGTTGAAACATGAATTCTAGCTAAGATTCTCTGTATACAACAATGAAAAACAAGTTATGATGAAACCTACTTCTGGGTGAAGCAAGGAGGTACATTTATTGAAACTGCTTGTTCCAGAGACAGCAGCCCATGTGCAAGCCAAAATGGAAGGTCCACCTTAGCACCCTTTTCAACCTGGAGATAAAGAAGATACAATGTTTAACTGGAGCAAATCTCTCACTTTTGTTTCCAACCAAAGCAAGAAATGATGTGAAGGTGTTTACAAGACAAACTAAAAAAGCATCCACCACCAGATTGTGTTTACTAGAAAATGTGTCATACAAGCCAACAAGAGTACACCTAGCATTCCAAAGCAGTTTTAATAAATAAAATCCAATGGTCATATAACACTCATCTCAGATAAACTCAATTAACTACTGCATAGATTCCAAACCAACTTCCTTCTAGAACAATAGGGATGGAGGAAGAAAGGTCAGTAGGTGCCCTAGGAAGTTACACCATAGCACTAAACCATAGGTGCAAAAGTCACTTACACTGTTTCTTTCAGCGCCAGGATCTAGTAGTCCAACACCATTTGCACTCACTTGAAAAACTACCGAAATAGGCTGCAGTAAGAGTAGAAACACATTTAGATCATATTTGTGCAAGCACACCAGAAGACGATAAAACAATCATAAAATTACCTCCTCCTCCATCAGGATATCATCGATGTCGTAATAACCAGGCATTGCACCAAGCAAACAGAATACTATTGCTTATTCTTGATTTCTGTCACCCTTTGGCATAAGCAGCTACACTGTATAAATAGGTTGCACATTGATGAAAAGCAGCAGTAAATGCACGAATCCAGGACCAAAAAAAAGGGGAATGGGCTCAAAGTAGCTAATGACATTTGGTTGATTTGTTCCCTCATCAATTGGGTGAGTATTACTAGAATTGCTTGTAAAACAAATAACCAATTTTGTTTTCTTCCCCAATTGCAAATCTATCAAAACTCTGAAACATAGGGCTCAATTTCTCATAAATCCAATAAAATCTCATTGAAATTCAACAATACAACAAAAGAATGCATGCAGCAGAGAGCAGACCAGCTCTGCGGAGAAGCGCGCCTCCTGCCACGCCCTCCCCCCAACCTCCTGCCTCACCACCGACCGCCTGCTTCCACGCGCCAGATCCGCACAGGCGCAGCGCGTCGCCGCCCGTTGCCAGCCGCCTCCTGCTCGCCCCAGCGGCCAGTGCCCTCGCCCCGCTCAACTGCGACTGCACGAGCCGCCCCGACTACGCGGGCAGCGCCCCGCCGCCAGAACTCGCAACAACCAACCTCGTGCAATGCAGTCGTGCTTAGAGAGGATCAAAGAGGAGGGGAGGGGGGGAGGCGATTTCCGTTCTCCGCGTGGATTTCCGTCGGGGTGCGGTGTCGGTGTCCAAGATCGGAGTTGTTTCCGCCGCGGCGGCGGTGGGGAATTTTGGCTTCGCGGGTTTCTTTCGGCTTTCCCGCTCAAACAAAAACGAGTAGAGTAGAGCCGAGCCAGCTCCGGTTGGCTCGTGCCAACATAACGAGCTAGGCTCGTTTAGCTACGTAAGGGCAAGATAATCAGTATTTAGATATAGGCCCCGTTCTAACTTTCATTAAAATGAAAGATTCATATCTTTCCTCGTTTTTCGTTGGCACGTTTTTCAAACTGCTAAACAATATATTTTATACGAAAACTTTATATATATAGAAGTTGCTTTAAAATATTAGATAAATCCATTTCTCAAGTTTGTAATAACTAAAACTTAATTAATTACATGTTAATGGTTTCCTTGTTTTACGTACCCGCTTTTAATCTTCATTTACAGAAGAAGCGAATGGAGCCGTAGGATAATTTTTCGATTTGTAGTATTATAGTATTATAAGATACTACCATAGGATGATCGAGATACTATAATATTTTAGAAATTACGTATTTTTATATAAAATATAATAATACATTATATAAATTAAAGCATATAATAATGATTTTGATAAATTTAATTGGTTTTTATTGTAAACTTGAGCATATTTATTCATATTATTATCAATCCACCTTATTTTAAATAATAATTTATAGGATCGTAGACACCATAGAATCAGGATAGCACCTAAGATTTCATACGATCATGTGAAAGTAAACAATAGGATCGAGACACTATGAAAGATAGGGTACTAGACGGGATCGGTATCGTTACAATTTGACAGGATCATAATATCGTAAGAAACTAGAATATGGATCATGATATGACAACCTTGCATGAGGGTGAGGCCGAAGGGGAGAAGTGAATCAAGCGATGTGCACCAGCAAATCAGAAGCAAACAGATAATCAAGTGAAGCAAATAAGGCGAAGTGAATGAAGCAAATCAGCTTCACTAGGTCGTGAAGATGTTAAGGCAGGCGTAGGGCTTGGTGGGCATTGGCTGCACGATGTGGCCCTAGTTGATGAGAGCGTTCGCGATCTGCTTGGGCTCTCGCAGTCACGCACTCGCGCTGGTTGATGCGCAGAAATAAGTTCACTTTGTGACCCTCAAAAGTGATTGAAATCTAATTTGTGATCCTAAACCACAAAACCGGATATCTCGACCCCCAAACTTCTAAAACCAGTGCAATTTGACTCCCTCAGCGGTTTTGGAGGACGGTTTCACTGATGTGGCTCCTACATGGCGATATTGACCGAGTCTTTGTTCCATGTGGCGTTGACGTGGCACTTACGTGGCATGAGAATTAAAAAATATGTGTGGGACCCGTTTGTCATTCACACACAAAAATTTGTGGGGCGCACTAACTCATCTCTCTTTCTTCTTCCTCCCCTCTTCCATTTGGCGAGGGCCGGAGCGGCAGCGGCGGCGGCGAACAAGGACGACACTGGCTCCTCCGTGTTGGCCGGCGAGCGAGGCTAGTGCGTGGGCCGCTGCCTTCAACCTCCGCCTCCGTCGTGGGCCATCGACGATGCCAAGGACAACCCCCGCCGGTCGACTTCCTCCACGACGCTGACCCCATCTCGCCGAGTGCTGGCCTCGCCATCGTCGACTCCTCCACTCCCGGGACTGCCTGGCCCCATCCCTGCACACGATGCTCCCCACGTCGAACGCGGCGAGGCCCGTGTCCACGCCTTTCTTGAGCAGCATGGTGGTGACGCGCAGGACGCGCTCGCACTTGGCTGGCATCTCCCAGCCATGGAACCTCAGAATGGCGATGTCCTCCTCGGCGTCCAGTGACCTTATGTACTCCACCGTCTCCTCGCTGAATGGCTCCCGACACTGCGGCTAGTAGAACCACTCGAATATGCAATCCTCAAACTGCACATGCGTGATCGATGCATGATCACCAACGAACAAAATGGAAGTCAATTAGCTAGAAGAAAATCTGTCAGCGTCAGTGCTTACACTCTCAGGAAGACAGTATCCATGGTCGATTGGAACCAGGGAGAGGCCATGGCCTTGTTTGTCTCTGCAGGTGAGGATGTTGCCGGCGTACCTGCCGGCGTTGGCCAACCTGATGTCCAACACGCAGATCCCATCTCGCCGAGCGCTGGCCTCAGCATCGTCGACTCCACTCCGGGGACCGTGGCACCACCGCCAGAGGGGGGTGGCGACCGCCTCTTCATCGAGCCGAGATCCACGGCCATAGACCCGCCGGACGAGCTCCCCCCGCAGCCTCAGCCTCAGCCCCATCGCGGCACCGACTACCCAGCCTCATCCGCTCCCTTGTCTACATCATCGCCGTCGCCGTCGACCGGGAGGATGAGCTCCCTGCTCCAGAACCCGTATCAGCTCCAGCCCACCGCCGCCGCCACCACACCGCGGCCCATGCCCCGCCGCCTGCCGAAGGGGAAGAAGGGAGAGAACGAGAGAGAAGGGAGAGAGGGAGGAGGAAGAAGGGAGGACTGACATATGGGCCCCACATGTTAGTGGGCCCACATTTCTTTTTGTGTGAATGACAAACAGGTCCCACGCATATTTTTTAATTCTAATGCCACGTAAGTGCCACGTCAATGCCACGTGGAACGAAGACTCGGTCAATATCGCAACGTAGGCACCACGTCAGTGAAACCGCTCTACAAAACCGCCGAGGGAGTAAATTTGTATTGGTTTTAAGAGTTTGGGGGTCGAGATATCCGGTTTTGTGGTTTAGGGTCACGGATTAGATTTCGATCACTCCTGAGGGTCACAAAGTGAACTTATTCCTGATGCGCACGTATTTGTCTCTTTGAGGCTATGACATGGGCCGAGGGATGTTGCGGCTGCTATGGCCATGGTTTTGAATCTTTTGATGGACTGCGCACCCGCAGGCTTCCAATTGTACTCCTTGTAGGGCTCTACCTTGTTTGGCTCGTGGGCAGCTCGTAAGTGGAGACTGCGACATCTTCCACGGCAGTGGGTGCCTGCCGCCCCCGCCGACGATGGCGATGCGCCGAACTACACGAACCGGAGTTGCGACGAGATCGGGCCCAGGTTTTTCAACTTGGGTATTCGAAATTGTAAGAGAGAGAGAAAATTTTCAAACCCAAGGTCTAATAGTTGTATAATATGTAAAGGTATAAACATGTTTTCATAAAGTTATAAATGAATAGAATTGACCATAAATTGAATGCGTTAATTTATTGAGCATACAAAACCAAGACCAAGAAACCGTTCAACTGGTTGTCCCGTCTTATTGACAAACCGCGAGCAAAGAACCAGTTGGTTCTTGATTTCTTTTTTTTAGCAACTTTTTCTAAAAAACTCTTTAAATTAACCATGGGACCCTTTTTTTCTCTTCATGTTTCAAACCTACAAACAACAATATCAAAGAGCAATTGAGCAAACTAGAAAAGCAGCACAGGTTCGGTGGTTCCTAAATCCTAATCTAGTAATCTAGATAGTCATTCATAAACTATGAAGCTAAAATAATCAATACACTTCAGTTCACCGACTCGGCGACTCACCGTTGCAGTTGCTCGAATGCTCGGTTGCTGTGATGTTGCTCGAGGATGGGAGGCCGAAGGCCGCGAGGCGCGCAGGCGGCCGCCGGGCGCGGGGCGCTACCGCGCCGGCCAGGCGCGAGGTGCGGAGCCGCGGAGGCGGCGAGGTGCGGAGGCGGCGAGCGGCGAGCCGAGCAGCCGGCGAGCCGGCTGTGGCCTGTGGGCGGCCGGCGAGGCAACGCCGCGGCCGCGACCGCCGACCGGGCGTCTGGGCGTCCGGCGACGGCGAGGCGCGCGCCGGCGCGCGCAGGCGGCTAGCGGGCTGGGCAGCGCGACTGGCGACGGTGAGGTGCGCGGGCAGGCGGCCGGGCTGGCGCGGCGACGGCGCAGTCGGCGCGTGCGTCGACTGGCGGCGGCTTGCGACGCGTGGGCGTGGCGGCTGGGATGGGAAGGGGAGGGAGGTGAGGAGATGAGATAGGGTTAGAGAGGAAGTGTGCTTTTTTCTTCTATTGGGCCAATGGGCCTGAAATGGTGGGTGGTGGGAGGGTTCAGTTTGGGCTTCTTTTCAGTTTTGAATGGGTATAAGTATTTTTCCTTTTTTTCCTATATATACATATGGAATATATACTTCATATATGTATTTTTGTTCAAAAATCTTGGGTATTCATTTGAATACCTATTAATTGAATTGGGCCCGCCCCTGAGATTATTGTGCAATCCTCAAACTCCACATGCGTGATCGATGCATGATCACCAACGAACAAAATGGAAGTCAATTAGCAAGAAGAAAATCTGTCAGCGTCAGTGCTTACACTCTCAGGAAGACGGTATCCATGGTCGATTGGAACCAGGGAGAGGCCATGGCCTTGTTCGTCTCTGCAGGTGAGGATGTTGCCGGCGTGCCTGCCGGCGTTGGCCAGCCTGATGTCCAACACGCAGATCCCATCTCGCCGAGCGCTGGCCTCAGCATCGTCGACTCCACTCCGGGGACAGTGGCACCACCGCCGGAGGGGGGTGGCGACCGCCTCTTCATCGAGCCGAGATCCACGGCCATAGACCCGCCGGACGAACTCCCCCCGCAGCCTCAGCCTCAGCCCCATCGCGGCACCGACTACCCAGCCTCATCCGCTCCCTTGTCTCCATCATCGCCGTCGCCGTCGACCGGGAGGATGAGCTCCCTGCCCCAGAACCCGTATCAGCTCCAGCCCACCGCCGCCGCCACCACACCGTGGCCCATGCCCCGCCGCCTGCCGAAGGAGAAGAAGGGAGAGAACGAGAGAGAAGGGAGAGAGGGAGGAGGAAGAAGGGAGGACTGACATATGGGCCCCACATGTTAGTGGGCCCACATTTCTTTTTGTGTGAATGACAAACGGGTCCCACGCATATTTTTTAATTCTAATGCCACATAAGTGCCACGTCAATGCCACGTGGAACGAAGACTCGGTCAATATCGCAACGTAGGCGCCACGTCAGTGAAACCGCTCTACAAAACCGCCGAGGGAGTAAATTTGTATTGGTTTTAAGAGTTTGGGGGTCGAGATATCCGGTTTTGTGGTTTAGGGTCACGGATTAGATTTCGATCACTCCTGAGGGTTACAAAGTGAACTTATTCCTGATGCGCACGTATTTGTCTCTTTGAGGCTATGACATGGGCCGAGGGATGTTGCGGCTGCTATGGCCGTGGTTTTGAATCTTTTGATGGACTGCGCACCCGCAGGCTTCCAATTGTACTCCTTGTAGGGCTCTACCTTGTTTGGCTCGTGGGCAGCTCGTAAGTGGGGACTGCGACATCTTCCACGGCAGTGGGTGCCTGCCGCCCCCGCCGACGATAGCGATGCGCCGAACTACACGAACCGGAGTTGCGACGAGATCGGGCCCAGGTTTTTCAACTTGGGTATTCGAAATTGTAAGAGAGAGAGAAAATTTTCAAACCCAAGGTCTAATAGTTGTATAATATGTAAAGGTATAAACATGTTTTCATAAAGTTATAAATGAATAGAATTGACCATAAATTGAATGCGTTAATTTATTGAGCATACAAAACCAAGACCAAGAAACCGTTCAACTGGTTGTCCCGTCTTATTGACAAACCGCGACCAAAGAACCAGTTGGTTATTGATTTCTTTTTTTTAGCAACTTTTTCTAAAAAAACTCTTTAAATTAACCTTGGGACCCTTTTTTTCTCTTCATGTTTCAAACCTACAAACAACAATATCAAAGAGCAATTGAGCAAACTAGCAAAGCAGCACAGGTTCGGTGGTTCCTAAATCCTAATCTAGTAATCTAGATAGTCATTCATAAACTATGAAGCTAAAATAATCAATACACTTCAGTTCACCGACTCGGCGACTCACCGTTGCAGTTGCTCGAATGCTCGGTTGCTGTGATGTTGCTCGAGGATGGGAGGCCGAAGGCCGCGAGGCGCGCAGGCGGCCGTCGGGCGCGGGGCACTGCCGCGCCGGCCAGGCGCGAGGTGCGGAGGCGGCGAGCGGCGAGCCGAGCAGCCAGCGAGCCGGCTGTGGCCTGTGGGCGGCCGGCGAGGCGACGCCGCGGCCGCGACCGCCGACCGGGCATTCGGGCGTCCGGCGACGGCGAGGCGCGCGCCGGCGCGCGCAGGCGGCTAGCGGGCTGGGCAGCGCGACCGGTGACGGTGAGGCGCGCGGGCAGGCGTTCGTCGTGGAGTTGCGATGAGATCCAGAGCGATGTTCCTGCACGTCGTCAGCGGCCGGTCCAAGGCATTCGTCGGCGACTCTCTGGCCAGGAACTATATACAGTTACTCATGTGCCTATGTCGTCATCTCCACGGCGAACTGGTTCAAGAAGCCGTCCTTGTTCCACGCACTACTAGAAAAAGCATTTTTCTCGACGTGAGGGTCTTATTTTCGCATGCGGACATGACCCTTAGAGCGAAATGACCACCTACAAAAATATAAATCGGAGTGAAATTTGCTGTCCGCCTGCGAAAATAGACTTGAATATAAATAGACTTGCGAGCTAGGTTTTTTCTAAGACTCACACCTCTCCTCCCCTCCACACCTCTCCACACCTCACCGGCCTCTCCCCTCCCCTCACCTCTCCTCCTCTCCCCGGCCGCCGGCTGGAGGCGGCGGCGGGCGATGGCTGCGGTGAGGAGGGTCGAGGCGGCATGGCTCCCGGCCCCTTCCTCCTAGATCTGGCCGGAGGGGGGCGGGGGGAGGGCAGACATGGCGACGGCGGCGAGGAGGGTTGAGGCGGTGGCGGCAGCGGCGAGGAGGGTCGAGGCGGCGCGGCTCCCAGCCACGGCGGTGAGGGGGGTTGAGGCCGCGATAGCGGCTCCTGGCCCCTCCCTCCCACATTTGGCCGAAGGGGAGCGGGGCGCGGCCGTGCAGCGTCGGCGCGGACTACGGTGCGGCGTGGCCGTGCGGCGGCGGCGGACGACGGCAGGGTGGCGGCCGTGATTTTAGGAATGATTTTATTTGTTTTCTTTGCTAGAATTGATTCGGTGATTTTGGATGAACTGGTGATTTCTCTATTGAATGTGGATTCACTGGATTGGATAGGGAATGGGTGGGAAATGGATTGGAAACGGGAAGCGACCGCCGGAAACGGCGGTGGCTGCCCATTTTTTTTTAGCGCTTGAAGCTATTTTCGCAGGTGGACCTGTTGCACGCCTATGAAAATCAACTATTTTCGTAGGCGTTGAGGTGCATGCGGATGGTTTGGCCCCTGCGAAAAATGTGATTGGGTCGCCTGGAGAAACACTTTTTTTAGTAGTGACGAATCCGGGCGCCTCGTCGGCAGCCACTTCTGCCACATCCCGGCCGTCGCTGATCTCATGCTCTGGTACTCACTGCGCGCCGCATTCCACACCGCACAATGAACGCTCACCGCCGGCGAGTTTTGTGGCATGGTGGTGGTGCGGACGCTGTCGCCGTCGTCGCACTTCGAGGGTGGGGAATGGAACAAGGGCGGCGACCGCCAACGGACCCCGCCTGTACGCAGCGGGCGAGGCGCCAATGGCCGGTGGAGGCGCGCAAGGTCAGCCGCAGCGGTGGCGTTGGGGGCGGGCTGTGACGGTGAGGATGTCGACATGAGAGAGGAGGACGGAAATAGTAATGGGAGTGGCATGGTTTTAATTTTAGAAATTTTCAGTGACACCTAACCGAAAATACCATATTTAGAAATGCTTGATGTTTTAGATTTTTTGTTTGTGCTTTATTTGTATGACATCATCAAATTTTCATAGTTATCTTCTATCTATATTGGTTTTTTATAATTTAATAAATACCATAAGATTGTTTTATGCGCTAAAAAGGTTGCACTACGCTTATGTAATAATAACATATATATCTTGCTTTCAAATTAATCTTAGAACAACTATGACTTGTAGTTGGATTGCCAGATTTTTTTTTCCCGTGATCAACAAAATTCCCCGTAGCAACGCACGGACACCCTACTACTTTTAGAAATTTTCAGTGACACCTAACCGATAACGTGAATTGCAACGGTATTTTTCTAATATGCCATATTTGTATTGGCATAAATCAAATTAACCCTTAAACAATACTCTCCATTTCTCACCATGCTTCTGTGGGAATGTTCATCTCAAGCAACTTCGCAATCATTCAGTACAGGAGGCACTCTGCCCAAGGAAAGGAAAAACTAGATGTTTCTCCAACAACATTCGCATCTACTCCAATCTAAACAGCTATGCTGGTATAAAACCAGCCACGATAGCACACTGAGAACCAAACGTGGAAGAAATACCATAGAAGATCCAGACATCATGACAATATCGAGGCATGATATTTGATAACGGAGTTCAGCTGAGGCCTACATCTCCAGGGCACTGATTACAGGTGCTCCTCCCTGTTCCAGCATATTACAGCCTATCGGAGTTACAACAACACACAGCCGGGCGCCGCCGGCAGCCGCTCCCTCTTGCTATGCTAAGCCGCCATGCGGTTACAACAGGCATGCTGTCAGGGTTACGGATAAGGCATACCTTCTATCCTATGACTTATGAAATATACCGATGAGGTATACCTTCACGCGCACGGATCGTTTCTGTATACGCCGTTAGGAATCTATCTCAAATTATGAAAAATATTTCTACGAGTTAAGAAATTACCGGAGTCCTACTCGGAGGGGGTAGAATCTCTGCTATATCGTGCCAATTTACATATCTCCAAGACTTACTTGGGGTCAAGGTAATCCACAGTATAAAAGGGACCCCTAAGGGGAGGTGAAGGGCATCGAATCTCATTGCTAACACACCCACCAAAGTTTCCGAAGCTGGAGTGCACGGAGCCCAGTCGCCGGGAGATCTCATCGAATCCTTCGACTACGATCTCATCGGTACCGTCTGTTTCGACTACTCCCTTTGTAATCTGTTCTCATCATCATCAATCTCATATAAACTGGACTAGGGATATTACCTGATAGGGAGCCTGAACCAGTATAATCCT